TAAAACATTTGAACAGAGAACTAGATGAGATCTGTGAGACTTAAGGATGCTGAGAAAAAGAGCATCTCAGAACCTGGGTGTGGTGACACAGAACTGCAATCCCAGCACTTGAGAGGGAAAGAGGAGAATCAGAAACACACACACACACACACACACACACACACACACGAAGAAAGTGGGCAGGCAGAGAGAAAGGAAAGAAGGACCATCTTAGGCAGAGAGCTGTGCAAGGGTCCTTAGCTGGAACCGGCTTGGTTTGCTGTAGGGAATAAAAAGGCTGGGTGATTCAAGCATAAGGACTGAAGGATGAGAGGTCATGGGTATTGAGATGTCTGATAGCAAGGCCGCCTAGGCCCACAGCAGGAATCTGGATTTCAAATATGGTGAACCTGGATCCCATGCACTGTGGCGTGTTTCTTGGCTGGGACGGTCTTTACAGTGACAGAGAAGAGAGCTCCTAGAAACAGCGCCATGTCAGCTCTGTGAGTCTCTTTACTCAGCTCTGGCTTACCTTGAACTTGGAGCAGCCAAATTCAAGATCCAGTACCCAAGGTGGGAGGGGCAGCCCCACCATAAGGAGCAGTTGATTCTCATTTACCATTGTACTAAAGGGTTTGAATCATTAGCAGACACTCAAAACTGTCTTGAAGCTGGACTCCTTTTAATCCATTCTATTGACGGTGGCTGCCAATGGCTCCAAAGTTCTATAGAAACTGACTACGCCCCAGTTTCCTCTCCAAGCACCTCATCTGTTTCATCTGGACGAATCCTATAACGGTAGCAGGAAACAGTACTCTGAACGTTGCAGTGTACAACTGTGGAAGCAAAAAGGCAAAGAGGCTGGGCCACAAGCCAAAGGTCAGTGAAGGCAGAGCTGCTGTGGGTGAAGCATGGGCAGGCTCACCAGGAGGGAAGCCCTTCAAACTCCAGCTGCTGCAAGGAGGAAATTATAATTCTCAGTATTTCTCGGATATCTTCCAGCAGGGCTAGCTACGAGCTGGACTATGTTAAGATCTGTGCAGAACTGACATTTCAGGACAGAACCTGCCGTACCAGGTTTGGCCTGCTTTCCCCTCTCTCCCTTCCTCTTCTCTGTCATATACGACATACACACATCTTGTAAACGCCAGAGTTCAACATCAGCCTGCTTTCTTCTGTTGCTCTCCGCCGCCTTCTTCTTCTTCTTCTTCTTCTTCTTCTTCTTCTTCTTCTTCTTCTTCTTCTTCTTTTTTTGAGACAGGGCCTCTCACTGAACTTGGGACTCATTAATTGGCTACTCTGGCTGGCCCCCAGCCACAGGGATCCCCTGTCTCTGCATTCCCTGGGGTGATAGAAGCTGCCAAGCTTTTACAAGGGTGCTAGAACTCGGGGTCTCGTGCTTGTGTGGCAAGCATTTTACTAACTGATCCAAAGCCCGTAGTCACTGGCCTCTTAGTTCTCAAAGCAGCTGGGAGGCAGAAGGTCAGTGAATAAAACTGGGGTGTGGCCGAGTATGCTATATAGCAGGGAAGCAGTGAAGTTGCCAATAGCTACCCCAGGCCCAATGGGCACAGTCCTAAGTTACTGTTTGAAATATGGGGATCCCTGAGCCTGAAGTTTTGCAAACGCTATAGTCTCACTTCAGCTCCTCGGAGGCACACGGGTCTCAGCCATCTCTGGTGAATGTCTTGATTGGCTGGAAGATTGCTGCTTCTTGATGCGGTGATGATTGCTTCTGAAAGATAGGGTAGTAGCCACTGCTATCATTTCTGAGCATTTTCTGGGTGCTGTCATCAGGAGAAGCAGTTTTTGTACATATTATCCTACCAAAAAATCCCCGTAAGGTGAACAGGCTACCCAGTGACGCTGGCCCACACCAGCCTCTATTGAATTTCTTTATAGAACCTCCATGTGACAGAAAGAGAAACTGAGGTGCAGACAGGTGAAATAGCCTCCCCCCAGGTCACACCTCAGACACCTGTGTCCATTTTCCTATGACTCAGTTGATGGGGGGGGGAGAAGGTTAATTTGGGACACTTTCCTACAAAACCCGATTTATCACTAAGGTTAACAGAACTAACAGGCCCTGATGAGTCTGCAAATGCAAATTCTTGCCTCAGCAACTCCTGTGTCAGCCCAGTCTCAGCCATCTCTGGAGGATGCCATGACTGGCTAGAAGTCAGACGCCCGTGACGACTGGATGTTTTAAGGATTCTGTATGTGAGCGAAATCATATTAAAAGAGAACTTTATGGTTGCGCACGTCACAACTAACAAGATGTATGTTGCAACTCAGCTTCCAGTGGTTGGAAAAAACCAGTAAATTGGCATTTTCCCCGTGCTGCTCCATTCTTAGCAGAAGTCCACTTTTGAAAAGAAATGTAGTCAGAGTCACCTAAGCCTCCTCTTCCTTGGAAAATATTTGTAAGTGTGCTAAGAACTAAGAAAAAAAAAATCTAGTGAGGAAAAAAAAAACCCGTCTTTTTTTCACAGTTATCATATACACTGGTTCAGAATTTTGACATTCTTATTGCAGAAGGAAAAACTTAGAAAACATCTAAACTCCTGGATGTTTAATATTTTTGAAGGTGGGGGAAGAAATTACAATTTAGTCGTGCTGGGTAGGGATCAAGCAAGGATTTCTTTAGCTCTCAAGAAGCATTTTACACATTCAGGTTTCCTCAGAGTGGCTGCGTCTCTCCTGAACATGGCAGTTACTGGTTGTTATGGGAAAAGACGATGAGGTCATGATTGCTTTAAGATCATTCATAATAAAAACACATTTTTGAGACTTGATTCTAAATGTTATACTTAAACTTGGGCGACTTAATTGCCCATAGAACAGGAATGAAGGCCCACCAGTAGGCAGTAATGTCTTACAGCCACCGTGTGTGAAATTGAAATCTTAACATACCATCATATCAGATATGCACCTTCTAGAAGCAGGCTCTCCCCAAAGAGTTGGGAAAGATAAGAGATTGACCCACAGCCGCATGCAGGCCTCTCTTTTAACACACTCAGGTCAAAGCAGAAGCAAAAAGAAATCTTTATGCCCTGGACTTGTCCATTCCAAAGTTACCTCTTGAAGCAAAAGGAGATATTTCTTTTAATAACTAACTCCAAACCCAAAACTGGAGCAAGGAAAATGGTAGCGTGTGTGTGTGTGTGTGTGTGTGTGTGTGTGTGTGTGTATGCCACCCTCTCTGAGGGCAGTTTTTCTAGTCACATTAGCTGGTCCCAGAGGTTCAGAATTAAAACATCACTATTAAGTAGATAAACTGCTAATCACAACCCATGGATTTTCATTGTTTCTCTTTCTTCTTTTGGTTTTATTTTTTTTGAAACAGTGTCTCCTGTAGTCCACACTGGTCTGTAACTAGCTTTGTTGGGGAGGATGACTTAGAATTCTTAATACTCCTGCCCCTACTGGGGATTACTGGTCTGTGCCACCAGGAGCCATGTTTATTTTCACCTCAGAGAGAAATGAAAGTAGACTAACAAGTATTTATCGTATAATTTAGGCTTGCCTAAACATTGTAAAGATTTTTGGTTTTTAATTAAAGAAAAACAAAAGCAAAGACCTGAATAGGAAAATGGCCTCTTTAGTACACAAACTTCAGAACATGGAGACAAGAAAATGACATATCTGTGGCAAATGATTCAGGTTACGATTTGTGAGAAAGCAACAAGAATTTGGCTCTGTAGAGGTAATCCAGGAATCTACTTCTGACTGCAACAATCATCTTCCAGGGTGGGCTGGTCAAGGCTGTGCAAAAGAATCTTTAAAATGGGCATGAGGTGTCTATGTCCTTGATCCAGGCTGGCCTTACTAAACAATGGATTCTGAAAGCACTTGGGAGTTTCCTCTTTACAAGCCTGGAGCCTGGCATCCAAGCTAATGGGCCTTTTGACATCAGTTTCAAGAAACTCGAGGTGTGGTCCCCCTCTTCCCTTCTGAATTTCTTCCTCCTTCTGGAACTTCCCTTCAAGCTTGAAGGAGAAATCTACCTTTTTTTCTGTGTCATACAGGGCAATATATTAGTAAGTAATAACGGTAAGGTCCTTGATTATTGGAAAGGCACTTCCTCTGGTCCGAGTGTTGCTGGCACTTCACAGAGCGGGGCCAGCCTAACCACTGAAGTCCGCTCTCGGAAAGATGCTGAGGGAGGGAATTCTGCGGCCAGCAGATGGAGAGGAGACCCAGACAGCGTGGTCCCTCCCAGCCACCCTCCCCGCGGGATTAGCTGCCCCCAGCATTGCTCAGGCGCACCCAGCACGTGAGGTCCCCGATCACACAGCTCGCGTCCCCTCTCTGGAGAGCAGTCGCAGCCACTAGCTGGCAGCCGGCAGAGCCACGCCGTCCCGGGCATCGCTGAACACCGCGGCCGTGGATCCGGGACCTCGAACCCAAGGCGAGCGCGCGAGAGTCAGACACTAGCAACGCTTGCCTTCCTGCAGGTGCTTATTTCCCATCCTGCTGGACCGGCCAGGCGGTTACTTTCAGCCTGAAACGAAAAGGGAAAGGCAGAGAAGAAGGGGAACCCTGAAAAGGAGGCTTTAGTGACAGCCCAGCTTCTTGCTCCCGGAGAGGTGCTCCGGGGAGACTCTCCGTCTCTGCCGCGGGCCCCTTTAAGAAGCCAAGTCGGTGCCGTTACCGCCGCCGCAGCCGCTGCTTCTGCTGCTGCTGCTGCTGCTGCTGCTGTTTGGATTGCTAATCCCCAGGAGCCCCGTTAAAAAAAAAAAAAAGAAAGAAAGAAAAAGAAAAAGAAAGAAAAGAAAAGAGGGGAGGGGGCGGGCAGCTGTCTCTTTAAATGTGATTTCCTTCTATTGTATTTGAACCGTGATCAGGAAAAAGGAAATGAAACCAGAGACAGAGGGAAGCTGAGCGAAAATAGACCTTGGCGAGAGAGGAGGGAGCCCGGGGAAGAGCCGCGCGGGCCGCTCTCCGCCTCTCCCCCCTCCCCAGGCCGCCGCCCCCCTCCCTGCCCCCGGCGCCCCGACCCCGGCGAAGGTGCGCAGGGGCTCGGGGCGAGCGGGCGGAGCCGGCGAGTGCGCGCGATCGGGACCGGGCGGCGGCGGCGGCGGTGGCGGTGACGGCAGCCGGACCGGGATGGAAGGTTAAGTCCTGAGCGCCGCCGGAGGGAGGCCGGGCTGGTCCCCGGCCCCCTGCCTCGGCCGCCGCGCGCCGGGCAGCCGGATGATCAGCTCTCTCTCTCTCTCTCTCTCTCTCTCTCTCTCTCTCTCTCTCTCTCCCTCTCTCCCTCTCTCTCTTTCTTTGGCGTTTGAAGGGAGCGCGGTGACCGTCCTTGAGTGCGGAGGGGCGAGCTCGCCGGCGGAGCGACCGAGCAAGAGGAGGCGCAGGAGCGGCGGCGCCCGAGCACCCGAGGGGGTCCGAGTCCAAGCGGCGGGCCAGCCGCGCGCCACAAAGGGAGCGCCCCCGCCGCCCGGCACGCCGCCTCCCTCCCCAATGTCCTCGGCCATCGAGAGGAAGAGCCTGGACCCGTCTGAGTAAGTGTGGCGCTCCCCGTCCCCCGCGACCCCACTTCGGGTCCCGGGCTGGGCGCCAGGGGCCAGCTCCAGGTGCGCGCCCGCGGCGTGCCCTTGGTCCCTCGGTGGCGCAGGGGCTCCCCCTGCTCTCGAGGGTGACTCTGGAGACACCTACAGGGACTAGACGGCAGAAGCCAATAACTAGGGTCGGCCCGGCCCGGCCCGGCGAGCCTGCTGACCGCCCTGGGCTGTCTGGAGAGCTCCCTAAACCTTCCCCGGGACCAAAAAGTTTGCCCAGGAGCAGGCACCCGGGGCTCCGAGGCTCAGGTGCAGAGCAGGAGGAGTGGAGGGCGGGATGCTACCTCCTCAACGTTCTCACCCTTCCTCCCTAGGTTCCCTTTCTTTCTTTTATTTTATTTATTTATTTATTTTTGGCCATTTGGCCCAGAAAATGGGGGGGGGGGCGTTCCAACCACAACGTCCTACCAAGCCCCGGGAAGAGCGGCTGCGGGCAGTTGATGAGTCCACCTGTCCACCTGGGAACTGGTTCTGGCCTCCAGAGACTTCTAGAACAGCTAATTCAGAGTTCCTCTGCGTACATATTCCCTTGAGTGTCCTAGTGTGGGCATGAGAACCTCGAAAATTAGTGCTATTTTTTTTCCTAACTATGTTTTTCTGGGGAGCAGAATCTCCTCGAACTCTCAGAAGGGTTTGAGGTCAGCGAACCCGAGCTGTAATGAGCCTGTACTGTCTGTGCTCTGAGCTTTGCACTGGTTTGCAAACATCCCCGTGCCCCAGCCGGTACCGTAGCCCATTCTCTAGTCTTAACGAGGGGAACCAGGAATGTTTAAGGTATCTTTTTTTTTTTTTTTTTACACGTTCATGAAAATGCCCTTTTAAGAGTCATTAGCTGTCTGGTTTTGAGTTTTTATTCCTTTGAAGTCCTCATCTAATCCTTTGAAGGGATTTGTTAACACAAGACCAAAGGAGCTGGTTAATGACTTGTCCATTTGGGCTTTTAAGACGCATTTGTTTTGGTAGCTTCATTCCTCCCACCCCCTTTCTTTTCCTGCTTTAAAAGAACTGTGCTTTCCTGCTGAAGTTCCCCTACTCACCCCCCTCCCCATTCAATTTCAGCTTTCTGTGGTGTTTATTTACCTGGGTTTTACCCTCAGTCAGCAGCATAAAAACCCAGCGTGTTCTCATAAAACACAGGAAGTCCCACGATCCAGCAAGAATATAAACATCACTCTTCAGTCTTGAAGGTTAAGACATCAGCTCAGAAAGGAGCTAGGTTTGTTGACATAAAGACCAGCTTCCTTAAAATCGCAGCAGAACAACAACCCTTTATAAAACAATTCCGCGTCCACAGCTTGTTCCCCTTTAAAAATAAACTTAGAATTACATCTGAGCCCTGAGATTTCAGAGACTGGACAAGACATAATACTGGATGGGAGGGAGTCAGTCTGGTGAACCAGTGTTTACTGCTTTTCTCGTACCACAACCTAGCCACTAATCCTTTATCAGAAGTCGAATCTACAGCGTTTGGCTCCTTTAAAAAACAGTTCATTATTAACTATGTGTATGTGAGTGTGCACCTGAATGTGAGGTGCCCTGGAGGCCAGCGGTGATGGATCCCCTAGAGTCGGGACACAGGTGGTTGTGAGCCACCCTTTTTGGGTGTAGAGACTCCAACGTGGGTCCTTTGGAAGAGCAAAAAACACCACCCTTAACTGCTGAGCCATCTGTCCAGCCTGGGGCTTGAGTTCTGTAAAGGAAGTTGGAGCTTTCCAAAGTCTGTGCCTTCCCTCCCCCGGAGACTGGAAAACCGAAAGGTATCTCAAGGCTGTAATAGTGAGCGCCTAGACAAGAGATCCACTGACCCTTCGCCTTCCCCAGGATGTGCCTAGTGAAGGAAGGCTGGAGTTGAAGATGGACAGGCCGGGTAGGAAATGCCTGCAGAACACTTTCCCCTCCCTTTTTGGGAAATGGGTGAGAAATTTTGACAGAAATCAAAAGCTAAAGAGATACTCAGATGTGGTGTTTGGGATAGGCTGGCAGGAGAATATCAAATTCGAACTTAAGGTGAATCTCATTCAGCCTTTGGCATAATGTCACATCGTCATTAGTTATAAAAAGATAGACTGAGTCAGTGTCTCGTCCTGTCCTTATCTGCTCTCAGACCTTTTTCTACTCACATCTTTTTCTACTACAGCCCACTCTGCTTCCAGCTGCCTCGCTGTGCGCTTGCGCAAAGCCAGCTTTACCACCACATCTCCAGATAAGACCACCCCTTGCCTAGCTACATGCAAAGGTAGAATGTTCGCTGGAAGTCATAAGTCATGAACATAGATTTCCTCTATCAAGGAGTTGGTGATCCCTCATTCCTCCCTGTAGGTCATTTTAATTCTGGGGAGTTTTGTTTCAGCTAAGTGCAAATTCTTCTGTTCCCAAGTTGGCTGGTCATAACATCAGCCATTTGGGCATGGAGCATGATAGGGTTTCTATGGGTGTGTTTGAAAGCCCAGAGCAAGACCATAAGTGTGGGTCTCTGCAAAGGGAAGAGATTTGATTCTGATTTGGTGTACCTGAGTAGGCCAAAGATCTTAGTTAACTTTCAGACATGAGGATGAAAGCCTTTACATGTACCCTATATAAACAAAGACTAGTGGTTTTGTTGTTGTTTGTTTAGTTTTTGGTTTTTCAAGACAGGGTTTTTCTGTGTAGCGTTAGCTGTCCCGGAACTCACTCTGTAGACGAGGCTGGCCTCAAACTCAGATCCACCTGCCTCTGCCCCCCCCCCCCCCCCCCAGCGCTGGGATTAAAGGTGTGCACCACCGCTGCCTGGCAGCTTCTATTGCATTATTAACACTCTTCACAGTCTTAGCTCATCTCACCCATAATTCTATATACCTGAGAGGCTGAGGCAGAGGAATGGAAAGTTCCAGGCCAGCCTGGACAATGTAGTGAGATCTTGTCTTAAATTCTAAAAGGAGGAAAGGGGTTTGCAAGTTGCCTCAGCTGCTAACTATGCTTGCTACCAAGCCTGAGTTTGATCCCCAGAATCCGCACGGTTTGATTCTGACAGCTCAGTGGTTAAGAGTATCTCCAGCTCTTACAGAGGACCCAAGTTCAATTCTCAGCACCCATGTTAGGTGGCTCACAACCCTCCATAACTCCATCTCCAGGCTATCTAATGCCTCTGGCCTTCTGGGGCGCCTGTCCTTACTTGTACATACCCATACACAGACATACAATTAAAACTAAAAACAAATCTTTACAAACACTACGAACAAGAGCAGAGAAATAAATGTCAGTGGTGGAGTACCTAATGTGAGCAAGGACCTGGGTTTGGTCTTCAGCATTGAAAAAACAACAACACAACCTCCCAAGACTTAACTTGCTTGTTTTTTCTCAAAGAAACTGGCCCGAGCTTCAAACTTCCTGTTCTAAAAGAAGGTAATCTTTTATTTTATGTGAAAATCGTAGATTTGGCGTTAGCATTTAGCTAAATATTTACAGCAGGTGCTTAATGGTCTTCTAGATAGAGTCACCTGAAGATGTTGGAGTACTATAAAAAACGATCATTCTCATTGTTCCTAATTATAATCTGCTGAGCATTGTGGGTACAGGCCAGTTAGTCCACAGGGTCACTTGGTAAAAGTGCCAAATAAAAAGGCACAGACTTACTGCCCCAGGATACCCATGAGAAAACCCTACAGGGCATTTTATAGTAGGAATGAAATCCAATTTTTTAAACTAGATATTTTTTAAAAGTAGATTTTATTTGAATAAGGTTCCAGAGAGCACTTGTTAATTATTACGGATATGCCTCAAGTGTTCTCTGTCTCCTATTTGACATCACAATTATTTCTTCCATGGCCATTTTCTCTCAGAAATGTTATTCTTCTTATATGTCAAACAAAAGTATTCAAGGTCCAGGAAGACAAAGCGAGCAGAAGACCAACCGCTGGAACTGGATCTTTGCTTTCACTCTGTGGGTAGTGGAGACCACATCAGATCACCAGGCTTGGCACCAAGCACCCTAACTTCCTAAGCATCTTGCCATCCCCTGCATACAACTTTTAAATGAAAAAACACACCCCTAGGCTCACTGTGAGCAAAGTGCCTAGACTGAGATTTTGTATTGATTGAATTGCCTTCCAGTCTGTTTAAGACCATGGTTCAGTCTCTCCTCTACTTTCTTTACTAATTTAACTTTATTCAAATCACTTTTACTATTTTTTTTAAAGTATGTGAAGAAAAGAGAAAATCTCACTGATGTCCTCTCTCTGTTTAAGGATGGCATTGTGATCTAGATTTCTTCCCAAATATTCATTTAGATCTAGCAAATTTTCTTTTGTTGTTTTGAGAGAGTCTAATGTAGCCCTTGACCTCTTGATGAGGCTGATTATAACCACGAAGTCCTGATCCTTCAGCCTCTACCTATGGATTGGCTGGGATTATGTCCCCCACTTTTTGTGGGGAGGATCAACTGGAGTTGAACCTAAGGCCACTGATGCCTAAGGCTGCCTCTCTACCCATGAAGCTAAACCTCCCCCCAAAGATTCGTTCAGAAAGTGGGGTGGAGTGCAAATTTTCAATTGAAATAAATAGATATTTGATGTCATTTTCTATTTTGGAAAGAGAAGGCAGCCTAATAGAATTTTGATTGCTTTCTCCTTCCTTTTCTACCATTGATTTTGTGCACTGGGAAGGGTTTCAATGGGGTGAATTCAACAGATTATCTGTAAGTTTTTAGCACACTGGGTCACTCTGAACAACTCCTTTGGTCCAAGTATGGTGCCACCTGCAGGTGCTTCGGGCACCTCCTGGCATCCTGTCTTCAAAAAAAAATTTTGGCTTTTTTTTTTTTTTTGAGACAGGGTTTCTCTGTGTAGCCTTGGCCGTCCTGGACTTGCTTTGTAGACCAAACTGGCCTCGAATTCACAGAAATCTGTCTGCCTCTGTCTCCTGGAGTGCTGGGATTACAGGCATATGCCACCGTGCCCGGCCTCTCTTCAAATTTTCAAATGTAAGCTCTCTCTCTAGCTTACATCTTCATCTAAGGTTGGCTTTGTCTCTGCAGTCTGAAACAGGAAGTCCTTTCTCCTTATGTTGCTGGAAGGAGATGCATTTGGCACAGGGCAATCCCTGGACCTTGTTCTTATCCTTCAGAGAGTTATCCCTAACACTTGGCCTCCTCCCCCAGGGAACCAGTGGATGAAGTGCTGCAGATCCCCCCTTCCCTGCTGACATGTGGTGGCTGCCAGCAGAACATAGGGGACCGCTACTTCCTGAAGGCCATCGACCAGTACTGGCATGAGGACTGCCTCAGCTGTGACCTCTGTGGATGCCGGCTAGGAGAGGTGGGGCGGCGCCTCTACTACAAGCTGGGACGGAAGTTGTGCAGGAGAGACTATCTCAGGTACATCCCTCACACTCGTGGGGCTCATCTGGGTTTGGATACCTGGCTCCTGCTGTGGCTCTGAAGGCCCTGCCTGAGGAGGCTAGGCCTCAGCTGCCTCTGCAGAGAGGCTGTGAGCTCTTCCTCTTCGATGTCTGTGCTCGCAGAGACACATCCTGGAGTGGTAAAACACTGTGTGTTTAGAGGTAAGAGAAGAATAAACACAGAATTGAGAATAAGGGCAAGCTTCTGGGTGGCAGACCAAAGGTTAAGGTTTGGAAATATATACATAGGGAGACAGGGAGTATCGTGGAACCTGGTGCTAGAGAGAGAGTTAATTTATAAATTTGGGGGTGGGTTCTTAAGGCCCCATTTTAGTAGTTAATAAGCAAGTGTATATATCTAGATATTCTTTTGCATGACTCCAATATTATTGGTAAGAACTTTTGAAATAACAATCTGTTCTTAGTAGTGAGCTCCAAGTACTGAGTCTTACAGCAGGAAGATGGCATTCAGTGGCTATACAAGGGAAGGGCCTGGAGTCGGGAGGTTTGAGTCACTGCCACATTGCTTCTAGTGCTGTGGTCTTGGGCAAGGTACACAGACCTCCATTTCCTGTCTGTAAAATGGGGATGGTAATTGTAGTTACCTCTTAAGGTTAGAACAATACAAATGAAGTATTTGATTGCTACATGACTCAAGATACAGATGTTAGCTGATTTTATAACTGACCTATATCTGGGCAGTATCACAGATTATTTTCCAGTATAATGGGCAAGGAGATGGGAGTGTGGAAGGGTAAATTGGGAAGTGTTCAAGGCCAAGTGAGACAGGAACATTTCTCCTGAATGTGAGTGTCTTGGTACCCAATGAGTGACTGTGACCGGCATGCTCTAGCTTCCGTATTAGCTGCATTGGAGTTACCTCTGGGCCTGTACTGTCAGATTCACTCAGCTGTTCAGCTGTCACTTCTCTGTCATCCTGCTGTGGCATAGGGTCCCCCGAGCATGCAACCCCAATATATTAGGACCATCCAGCCCATGGAAGATCTTTTAGACTCCAGTGCCCTTGGCTGCTGGCATGGCTCTTCCTCCTGTGTTTGTTCTGTGGGCATTTGCACACGCGAAATAAAAACAAAACTGCTTGCTGGTAATTCCACAGTGGAAGGAATCTTATCTGTCCATCCAAAGACTGAATTAGCTCTTACACACTTACATTCGTTGATGAAAATCATTACAAATGTCGTGCTTTGGGACAAGTGGAAAAGAGAGCAAGTCGGGCTGGCTGTAATTTTGTCGAATTTCTTTTCTTTTCTTTTTTTTTTTAAGTCATAAGAGAATAGAACAGAGATAAATACAGACCTGGTTTTACTCAGCCCAGGTCTGTGAAATCAGCCAGAAAGCAGCTGGGTAAATGATTCCCACTGGGCTCCTGCTTCCATCCCTGCCGAATCATTTGAATCTTATTAAATGAAGTCAGATACAGTAAGGTCAAAAGAGCCGATTCCTCCCTATCTCCACGGTTTTATAGAACATCCAGGAAGAAAGGCAGCGTTGCCTGGGCTTGTTAATCTTTTCCATTTTCAAAAAGGAGAGGAAAAAAATAGTCTGGGAGAGCCCGGTGTTAATTAACTTGTGTCTTGGTGACACGAAATAATTCTTCTCCCTGCTACATTCCCAGGCAACATGTTAATTAACTCTGCATTAGTGCAGGCGTTCCCAGCCATCTTTTAATATTTATATTATTGTTATTAAAATGGGCAGCAGAAAGCTTAAGGCGTTGACACCTCTTGACAGAGGGGGGATCTTTATTTTATTTTATTTTTTTCCTTTAGGGATGGTCCATTAGCCACAGACTTGTTTACTGCAGTTCTGTGGCATATCCAGCGCTGTTTTAACAGGGGTAAAGTTCGGAATGCCTCAGCAGGTCCTCCTGTGAGGTCCAGACCATCTCCCTAGAACAGCTTCTCCCCGTGAGGAGGATCTTGAATGGTCAACTACCTTCTAGTCTTTTTGAAACATTCAACCTCAGATACCCAGGACACTCCCCCGCCCACTCAAGTGCACCTCAAAGCTGCTATTGTTACATTGTGTTGTTAGCAGCTGCTTGTGTGGGTGCCGCCCCCCCCCAATCCTGTTGGATCCACTTTTCATGGGCAATCCCTTTTAGCCTATGGTTCTGTTTCAGCAGCTGCCACCTACATCACGTCAGCACCTGTTGTAACCAGACCCCATGCTGAAGACCCATACTTGGGGGGAGGGGGTTCCTCAATCCCTGCAGTTTAGAGGGATCGAAGGCTGCTTGGAGACACAGGGCCAAAGCTCCCCCAGAGGCTGTGCACCTGAGATTGCTACTTGACTCCCATCCCTCTTTTCTGCTTCCCCCGAGGACATCATAAACCACTGGAACATAAATCCTCCCCTGTGGGCTGCTTCTGGGATATCCAGCCAAGACATGGATTCTCCGAGCCAGAGGTTAATGCACATGCTAAGTGTCCAAGCCCTGGCTTATTTTCATTACTGTTAGCATTTCGGAGTACCTGAGTTGGAATGGGCTGCCGAGACCTTTGCCTCCAGGTTTGGGCTTACAGTGTAAGGCACAGAAGCTTGGAGGGGACATGTCATTTGCTCAGGTCACCTACCTACTTAGAGGTGATTCTGGGACCTGAACTTACTTCCCAAACATAACTCCTGTCCTTTCATTAGCTGCCTGATGGGTTGTAATTTGCCCCTGACTTCCCTTTAATAAGCTCCCTCCTTCCTTAAAGACCTCACACCTCAGGCGGTTGGGTTCATGCTGTGCACACTGTTTTCTCCGTTGTGTGTCTCTGCTCAGCCCCAGACTTCACTTACTGAACAGTCAGGGCACTAGAACGCGCTTTCTGCTCAGTGACCTCCAGTGTGGCTGTCTACCTACAGCTCCGCCATCTGCTCCAGTAGGATGGAGGGTTCTCCCCTATTTATGACTCTGCATTTCAGCACAGCAAGTGGCATCCAGACGAGCCTCGCCCCTGCTGCTGCTGAGCTGGCTCTCTATTCACAGACCCCTCTCACAGGCCATTCATTCTGGCCAAATGTGGCAACCTCTGTCTGTCGTCTTTACCTACCCTACAACATCTTAAGACGCACCCGTCGAGTCTGGCATTTTCTAAGTTTTCAAGAACTTCTAATGAGGACAAGCCATTCCTGGAGGTGGTCACAAAGACTTTACACGGAGGCTGCGTGCTGACATGCTATTGCACGCTCCATGTGAAAATGACCCTGTAGCAGTGGTTGGCCAGTATTGACCTCCCCTGTGCTGGCATGCCCTAGGCATCCCACTAACATCTAAGCAGGGTAGATGATAGGATGACTCAGAGAAATCCAAGGCCAAACTATCTTCTGGTCCTTGTCCTGGTGTTCTTCTATTCTTACAGGCAGACTCACTTCCAAAGTTTCGCCATCGTTAGGTTGTTATTAGTCCACAGTCCGCTGAGCCTTCTCTTAGGTGCCTGTGGGTTATAGGGATAGTGGAGAATTTGTGTTTCTCATGAGTTCCCGAATGCTGCTGACTGCTAGTCCCTGACCGAGAACCATTCCACTGACTCCTGCTAAGCTGCCTCTCATACCCCAACACTAAATGTTGCTTGAGGAAATGGCTGATGGCCTCGAGGCTAAGGAAAACTTGATTTAGATGTGAGAAAAGTCATCTCTAGGTGGACAGGAAGAGCATGAATGAAGATCTTCTGTGTATCATGGGGAGATGCTGTTCGTCCTCTGGGTCCTCTGGGTCATGATTAGCAGTACTGAACATCTCCCAGGATACCCCTGTCTCCTGGCAGCTGGGGCTCCAATGAATGGTCATGTGAACGTGGACTTTGAAGGCCGGGGGTGGGGCTGATGAGTCAAGGCACACTTTCCAATGGGTGATGAGCGGCTATTGGTGTGGTAGAACTGACCCTCCTAACGACGCCCATTCTGTCGCCTTCCTGGTGAGTTACCCCTCCAAGGGCTCGCCCCAGCTTCACTACATGCCTGACTTCTCAGAAGCCACTTCAGCTGCATCTCTTCCGTAGCTGGTCCACACAGCCTAGAGGTGTGGACACAAGCGGGGAAAGGCTCAGGGAAGGGAGGGAGGAATAATAGAAAACAATGCCAGTCTCGCCCAGCCTGTTCTTTCTGCTTTCAGGCAAAGAGTCATAGGCTATTATTTTTTTTGTTCATCTTTTATTTTCAGACGGTGTATCACCATGTATCCTAGTCTTGCTTGGAACTTGCCATTATCCTCCTGCCTCAGCCTCCTGGGTGGTAGGATTACAGATGTGTACCACTGATTCCGACTAGTCCAGACTTTCCTAGGTTTTGTGTGGAATCCTGATAGATGGAGCCAAACCCCAATCCCTTCTTTCTGTTTTCTCCGCTCTTAGCTTTTTTTTCTTTTTGCCCCAGGCTTTTTGGTCAAGACGGTCTCTGTGCTTCCTGTGACAAGCGGATCCGTGCCTATGAGATGACGATGCGAGTGAAAGACAAAGTGTATCACCTGGAGTGCTTCAAGTGTGCTGCCTGCCAGAAGCATTTCTGTGTGGGTGACAGATACCTTCTCATCAACTCTGACATAGTGTGTGAACAGGACATCTACGAGTGGACTAAGATCAATGGAATGATCTAGGCCAGAGTCCCAGGCACCTTCATGGAGGTGTTCAGTGAAGACACTGTCTCAGTGGGGTCTTCATTCTTAGGCACTTTGGGAACCTGAGGGTGGGTGAGGCATTTCTTAGGAAATTCTTAACTCCCCCTGGGTACTAAGACATAGCATCCACATGACATAATGCAAAGGCCGAGACTTCAGTGACAACAGGACCAGCCCTTAGAGAGACAAATGGTCACAGTAGCTGACAAGATTAGTGGAGGAAATATTTGGGATCCAGCATGCACTGTGCCATCATGGTAGGATTTCCAGGATAGGCAGTGTTGGGTAAAGACTAGGTATGATCTTGGTGTTCATGGACTAGAGATGTGCAATTAATTTCTTCCTAGCTTTGGTAACTATCCTATTCTAATCACTGTCCTTCACACTAGGGAAGGAAAGAGAGAAGAGTAGCCATTCTTTTTTTCTTGGTCACCTTCCCATGGCCTAAATCTCTGAAGCCAAGGGAAACTGCATGGAGGTACATTTCAGTTGGGAATGAAATACACATCTTTCAACCAAACAAATATTTAAAGCAATGTTGATGAATCACTGTTTTTAGACACCTTCATTTTGAGGTGAGGCGTCCCACAGATTGTTTCTATACAAATGTAAATCTTAAAAAAAAAAGTCAAAGTTGTTCAACTATTTTATTATCTTAGATTATATCAAAGTATTTGTTGTGTGTCATTAAAAAAAACTCGATTCTGAAGACTTAATAAAAATGGCAAGCTAAGATGCATTGCCGCTGTTGATGTGGAAGGACTTACAGTTTGCACTAGCAGGGAAATGGTTTGCTTTTTTTCTCTTGGAAAGGTGACGTAAATAAGCAATTTATTTCTAGGTCAAATAAAAGCTCCCATTTATTGCAAGAGTTTATATGAGGTTTATATAGGTTTCTGTATTACCGGCAATTATATAACAGGCCATCACGTAGCTCAGAGGGATATAGAATAATTAAGTTGTTATTGTAAAATGTGCATTTCACTTTGGCATTGTGTGGACTGAGTGGAAGGCAGCGAGATCATTGCCTTTGGGAAACTTGTAACCTAGAAAGCACACAAATATATAAAATAGATTCCCTTTGGGAGAGAAGGTAATTACCTGGCTTGAAATGTGGCAAAGATGCTGAGCTTGACATTTCTATTTTCCAAGATGTGTGTCTCAGGGTGTTTTATGACAAGTGGTTAAGGGGACCTTACTTTGAGGATTTAAAGTCGGGCACCTGAGTTTGTGCGTTTGCCTGCTCGCCCTCCCCCCACCCCCATGGGGGGCGTGATCTGACTTCAAGCGCCACCTGCTGGCCATTCCTCAACCCACTAACCCAGTGGTGTCCCAGGGAATGACAAATCTCCTAGAAGGCTACACTGTCAATTATTTCATAAAACCATTGGCAGACACCGGTGGGTCTAGATGTGTTTAATTATCAAGATGTCAGAAACATGCAGCTAAAGCTATGTTTAATTAACTTGAAACTGCTTTAACGTTTCTGCCATTGAAGGGTTTTTTTTTTTTTTCTCTCTCTAATTCTTGAGAAGGAATAATGAAGCAATGTCTCTCTTGGCCTGTAAAATGCTCAAAGTGGTTGGGAGATCTGATTGCTTAAGGTGGCCTATTTAAAATGAATCCAATTACATCTCCCTGCAGTCTAGGTAGCCGTCCATCGGATGCTCCCAGGGAGGGGACGCTTGCTCTAACTCTGCAGTTCTCAAACTGCAGTCCCTGAGCCAGGTTCTCCAGACTCAGGGACCCTACCCCCAAAACACACAGATGCAGAAACTCAGCAGGGGGCTTGTCTGTCCTGGAACAGCCCCGGGGGAGTGGTTCTATTCATGCCCTGAAATCTAAAAATGGCTATTTTACATTACCTCCCAGCCAGCAGGATCATGAGTTCTAAATTGTCAGTATTCAACATGTGACAAGGTTAGCCGAGGAGGTATTCACACATGTAGACAAACACTGCTTACCCAGGAGCCTGAAACTGAGGCCGTTCATTGCTTCTGTTTAGCCAACAGCTGCCTTGTTCTTCATCTAATACCAGTCACAATTCAGTCTAACGTTTTTTGTTTTGTTTTGTTTTGTTTTTTAAATCTGTTCTTCTGCTTAATTCTATCTAGTTGAATTTGGCAGTGAGATTACAAGATTGGAGGATTCATATCCAAAAATTAAAATATAAGACATTCCCCCTTTATCCAAAGTGCTAAATGCAGTTTTAGCATAAGTAAAGTAAGGTACCTCATGATGAGCTAAGCCTGTATTTCTATCCTGAACAAAACTGATACCCTAGAACCAAGGAGAAGACACTGCACCAGCCTTTTACATTTAATCCCATTCTTTTTGTTTTTGTTTTTTGTTTTGGAGACAAGGTTTCTCTGTGTAGCCTTGACTATCCTGGACTCGCTTTATAAACCAGGCTGGCCTGACAGAGATCCACCTTCCTCTGCTTCCCCGACTGCTGGGATTAGAGGCGTGTGCCACTTCGCCCAGCTTTAATCTCATTCTTAAAGCAAAGCTGCCATCCATATGTGATTTGGATATTCTTCTTCAATATAACAGACAAATTGCCAAGATGAGTAAGTACCCTAATAAGTATTTCCGTTTGAGGTTGTACATATATTTTCAATCTGTATAACACTTGTTTTGTTACACTTCTTAAAAGTATTATGCATTTAAATATAATTCTTACTATGTTCAAAATTGAGCTAAAGCCTTCATACCTGCTAGGCTGATGCTACAGCTGTCTGCCTCATTTTTGAACCACACCAGTGGCCATAGTGCTATGTATTTGTTTTTCTTTGATTTTATTTGAGACAGAGACTCCCTGTTGCCCGGGTTAGCCCAGAGCTCACTGGCTAACCTGGCTGGCAATGCTCCTCCTCCTTACTCCTGAGTGATAGTATTATAGACATTACCATTACACCTGGATATACCCAATATTAAATAAAAATAAAATGATCTTTGCCTGGGTAATAGAAACTTCATTGAAAACACCCAACTATAGTGCAACTCATCTTAAGATTTAAGAGGTAATTAGCCCAGACCTTCACCATGGTAACAAAGCGATCGCTCTTTATTTTCTCTTTCTTTCTTTTATTTTCCACATTTATTTATCTTGGTGTGCATGCTCCAGCGCCATGGTACATATGTGGAGGCAAGAGGTCACCTCTTGGGAGTCAGTTTCTTCCACTGTGCTATAGGATCTGGAAAAAGGAACTCAGACCATTAGACCTGTCCATGCACCCCTGAGCCGTCTCACTGGTCCTTACGGGCACATAAGCAGAGTGCTTGCAGGAAACCACCCCAGGGCCTCCCACATCTAACAGACTGCAGAGAAAGAGACGAGAGAGGCCTTCCCTTAGCATCCCAGCCTGAGCGTCCAGAGCCAGCCAGCAGAAGGGAGCTGAGCAGGATCCCTTTCCTGGTCCACACCTCCATCCCTCAGTTTCCCGGGAGTGTGTTTCCTCCTCCACTCTGACTCAGCTTCTTCCATTGCTCCTGCAACTCAGCCTGTGCTCCTCAGGAAGGCTTAGGCTCCCAGAAAGCTGGACTAGAACACCAGTTGAGAAAGTCGGCAGTTGAAGTCTTGGGTTTTAATTCCAAGGACAGGACTATTTACTAATCCTCCAGCACTCCTGGGCCACATGCTCACTCAGAGCTTCTTGAATCCAGAGCCTCCCCAAGGCTTCTGCTCATTGTTACCTCTGTGGCACTGTGGAGGACCTTGACCGCCCAGGCAGGCTGAGCCACTTGCTTCTGAGGTGCTCCAGCCCAGCAGGCTACTTTCTCCACTTCTCTCAACCCTGGGCTCTGCTGTTTATTCAGCCCAGAAAGTGCTCTATTCTGTCGCTACACTGAAAGATGTATCCAAGCATAAATGAGGGTTTAGGAGAGAGTGGCCACTTTTGCTTTGTGGTCTTATGAATGAAAATTTGTGCGTCCTCACACACATATGCCAGGCCAGCAATGGGACTTTGTTTTTATTGTAACCCTGTACACATACACATACACAGCAATGAGCTTCTGTTTATATTGTAACTGTACGTGCTCGCACACACAAAGCAACGGGGCTTTGTTTATATTGTAACTCTATATACACACACAGTCATATAGGCACACACACACACACACACACACACACATATCCTGAGCCAACAACAGGATTGAGTTTATATTGCAAATATTATTTTTAAACAAAGCAAACAAACAACCCTCTTATCACCAAACAGAAAAAAAATCAGTATTTTTCTCCTTCCCCCTCTCCCCCATCACAGGATGCTTGAGCTTAGTCTATTGGGAAATCTCAACACAGCACAAAAATTAAAAGTTTGCACATAATAAAGATAAGAAAAGCACTGTGAGAACAAAGACAACAAACTAGCCCAGAGATAGTTGTCTAGAAGGAAGAAGAGGTAGTATTTACAGCGCCCTGTACCCGGAAAGAGCTTGTGTGGAAGAGTGAGGAGCTAGAGACCCAGATGGATGTGTCCAGAAGTGAGCTCAGAGGGCATGAGTGCAGGCTTGGAAATTGGCAAGCTTGGAGCTGGGGCATGTCAGGTGGGAGCTTAGAGTCCAGTTCAGGGCCTTGATTACCACGGAGCCTCAGTGGTAGAACACGTGTCTAGGATGCAGGAGGGTTGGATCGCCAGAGTGATCTTTAAATCCTGTTTTCTCACAGGACACATTTATGCTACTGTGCCAGGCACAAGACCTGGGCCCAAGTGAACCTCGTTGGTCTCTGATTTGGCCTTGAACCCTTAGCTCAGGCTCTTCCTTCATGCAGTATCTTACTGTTTCTACCTGCAGAGGTTAGTCGCCCGGACCCAAGTGCAGAGGAGTCTCTGTGATTAGGAAAAGCTGGTACCGGGCATGCTCCTGGGCTGGACTTCAAATATAGGATCAGGACTTTTTTGTATGGGGCTCATCAGTCTATGCATCTACACTTTCTTTGCTGTGGATTTGTTTCCTGACTTCAATCGGAAATTGCTTCGGATGCTGGCCCGATGGCTCAGTGGCTCGGTGGCTTAGTGTACAAGCCTCGGTGGCATGAGAACCGAGTTTGAATCTTCAGCACTCGTGTAAAAAGGGCTGTGTACGGCTGTGCACGCCTGAAACCTCAGTGCTCTGCTCAGAGAGAGCAAGGCATCCGGGAGTTCTGTCCCTGAGGTTTGCTCACTAGCCTGATCCCCAGGTGTCGTGAGAGACCCTGTCTTAGGGAAGAAGGTAGGGCAGTCATTGTCTTTCTCTGGCCTCTTCACCTGCTTGCACAAGTGGGTACACCTGCAGCTGCACACACAGAGAAGCATAAACCACACACAAACTCACACACACATACAAAATTGCTGCTGAGAAGACGTGGTGGTGACCAGCTTCCCAGGAGGCTGCGGCAGAATCTCTTAAGTGTAGGAGTTCAAGGTAAGCTTGGACAACATAGTGAGAGCCTGTTCTGAGGGGTGGAGAGAGGAAGGGGCTGGGGGAGGAAGAGGAGGAGGTGGTGGGTTGCTTTGAATCCGAAGTCCTGTGAGGACAAGAGCAGTGTCTCCATTTATCCTGGTGTTTCCAGATCACCCACGGACATGCCAAATTCGGATGTGATTCATGAGATTATTGACGCCCCTCTCAGTTTCCGAAGCATTTATTCCCTAGCACATTTCCTTTATTTTCCACTTTGTCCCCTACTTTAAAACTTCATTTGGGGAGGCTGGAGAGAGATGGCCCAGCAGTAAAGAGCACTGGCTTCTTTTC